ATTGCTTCCGAATTTACCCTTACCCATTATACAACCGATCGTTCAATGACAAACCGATCCTTCACTACCCGAAAATAACTTAACACTTCAACAACTAGTGATAGTGCTTCCTTTTACAGCTTGGCGTAGCTATTCTTTGAATATTTATTGCTTATTTATCTCATATAGAGGTCAAAAAACTATTTTATTTGAAGGTTTCGTTTGTTATTCTTTACATCACTTAATAGCAGAAGTTTGTGTAATGGTTTATCGAAAAAAGACCCCTAAAAATCAAATTGGTGGATATGTAAATGATTATTCTGCCACAAATACTTTATACTGGCCCAAAGAAACTATTGAAATTGAATTAGACCCTAAAGGAGTAAAAGGATTTTACTTTTATGGAAAAGTATATAATATACTAATGGAATTCAAACTTGATGAAGGATCAACTTGCACAATAATGGGAAAGAACCACTTAGATTTTTTAAAGAAAAACGAACAACACTTCAAATTTTATCCAAGAAAATCAACTGCAGAAGCTGTAAGATCGAACAATGTTACTATAATTAAAAAGGCAATCATCAACATAAAAAGAACAAACACTTCTTTATAAATATTAAAATAGATGTACTAGGATCATACTTAAAATATATTTTAGTGTCAAATAAAACTAAGCGACAACTGGGGATAATGGTCAAACTATCTGAGGAATTTATTTTATTATGGGGTCTACCCATAACGAACCAAAGACAGCTAGACCAAAAGCAAACGGATGATCAGCCCTATTTAGTCACGCTAAGTGATAGCAGGCTAAATAGCAAGATAAGTCCACATCCAGCCAAAAAAGAAGAACATATTCTTAGTAGTGATGAATTATCTGATTCATCTGAGTCTGAGAATACTAATAACACGGAGGAGTCAGATTCTGATAAATCTAGTGAAGCATCCAGCTCGGAAATTTTATCAGAAATTATCGACCTGAATGAATTTGAAAATCTAGGCAAACAAAAAGGAAAAGGCACTCAATGTTCAAAGCAAAACTATAAATACAAATCCTTAAAATATCGCTAAAGACCTATGAAGAAACCCCAGAAAATTGGAAAATCCAAAAAGTTATTAGAAATGGGAAAAGGTATATTCATAATCCATATGAAATACCGAATTATGAAACAATTAACTTAAATAAGGAGCAATATAACCTGTTTAAAAAACAATGTGAAATCAATTAAAAAAGGAAATATCTAATTGGAATCACATGTGATAGTTCTTGGGAAGGAATTCAAGAAGCTATCATATGAACCAGAAGTAATATAGTGCAAACATTTATGACATACAGACAAATATAGCAGTATGTCAAGAATGAAATGATGAAGAACTGGATAACCCTAAAAGAAGGGATACCAAACATAGAAAATGATAGGCTTATACAAGTTAAGCTGTCACAATTGCAAGTAAAACCGCGTATAGTAATACACGCATCTATGGGCTTAAGCATCAATGATGCTATACAAGAAGAATTATTTAATTGGAAAATCAAAAGAATAATTGAAGAAATAAAGCGCGCACACACAATAGGAAGCAAAGTATATGTATTGCATATAGGAACAAAAGCCTCGAGAAACACAATACCAACACAAGAAGGGATCCAGAAGGATCACATCAAGAAAAACTTGAAAGCTATACTGAGACAAACTGTAAACACTGACGTCATGATCTTATTAGAAAACTCAGCAGCCAACAAGTGTTATGGAGCGAAAATAGAAGAACTCTTAGAAATTAAGAGCAGTATAGACAAAAATTTATTAACTAAAGTAGTAATACATGAAAGCCCAAACGAACTATCGCAAATGCAAAAAATAGAGCGTCTCAAGTTATGTTTCGACACTCAATATTATTTTGCAGCAAGATGTGATAGATATCTAGATGATTATACAGAAGTCATAGCAAGGTATAGAGATGAAATACATCTCTTATATATAAATAATATAATGAAAGAAAGAAAAATAAAACAGAAAGACGGATCTATAAGAAAACAGAAAGCAACAGTATATGGCAGTGGACAGGATGTCTATGCACATTTATTATAAAGACAATTATCATAGGAAATATATAAAATGCTAGCACAACACCCTAAAATGAAAGCAATAATATTAGAAATACCTGGAAGAACTGAAGAGCAGAAACAGAAACAAATACGAGAAGTGTATACATTAAGGCAATATACTAAACCTGAAGACACTTTACAAAGTGATGATTTATTGTTCAAGTCAGATTTCCAAAAGATAGAAGAACTAGAAAAAGAGGAAATCCCTCAAACAGTAAATAAATATGAATCGCCAGAAATAGTAAGCTTACAAAACCATTTCCAACAATTGCGATTAGAAGGTCAAGAAAGATACCAAGACACTAGAAAACAAGAATCTATCGATAGAATAAGAAAGAAACAAGTAGAACAATTAATATTTAAAGCAAATGAAGCACTAAACAAGTTCCAAGCTACACCTTTTGCAGGAAAAAGCAAAAGTATATTACTACCAACTTCAAAAACCTTTGGACAATTAATAAGGCAATATGGAACAAAAGTGAAGAAATTAGAAAGGTTGCAAGAAGAAAAAGGAAATGAGGAAGTAGTCAAAACACTTAAGGACCTCATAGACCAGATAGCAACTATTAATTCTAATTTTGAAAGAATTAAGAAAATGAGTGATAAAGAGGCACAAACGCATGTCGATAAAATGAAAAATATCGACATACTATCACAAAATCTTAAAGAAACTAAGTCACATGAAACACCACAAGAAAAACTATTTGAAATTATACAATGGTATGATCAACAAACTGATGAAACACAGAGAACTTATAACAAAGATTTAGAAAATGAAGAAACACAATATATCGAGAATACAGACAATGCTCTCAATATAAGACCAGAACAATATATAAATCTAAAAGAACCTTATAGAAGAGCTGTTATGGTTAAGCTGACTGCAATAGCCAATACAAGTAAAAATGAAGAAGAAAGAAAAAGAGCTAATAGCAGATAGGGAGATAACGCTACAATGGAAGTATCTGTAAACCATAGAAAACTACAGATAGCAGAACGATAAAAAAAACAGGAAGAGAATAAAGTTATAAAAACTAAAGGGAAGACACCTATACGATATAAGCATTCTGGTAATAATGCTAGTATGACAAATGAAGCTGGATCTTCATAGAGTGAAGACTCTGCAGCTGAAGATAAAAAGTTTCAAGAAGAACAAGACAAAGTTATAGGTCAAGTTCTTGAACAGTGGGATAGAAATGACCCGACAAGAACGTTGCCTATAACTGGAGAACCTTTTACTAAAGGAGGTGATGTAACCATATATAACATACAAGCATTAAAACTACTACCACCACTTAGTAAACCTGCTAAGAAAAGCAATTGGTCATTTGTACCTAGATGGGATTACAATGACTCACCTAAGAAAGAACCTTTACTGAAAACAGTAGTAAAAGACAATGCTGCAAAACAAACAACGTGGCAAGAGCAAAGTGAAACCCCTAAATTTTACAGAAATAGACAAATGTCTATGGAAGGTAGACAATCTAGTGTACTACCACGTATACAAATAAAAGAACCAACAAACCAGCCACAAATATCATCCCTATTACTAGGTTCAGCAGCATCGATAGCTGAAACTACCAGCTCTAGCTCAACAAGTATAAAATTAACCAGTAGTGAAGAACAACCAACTTAGAGTAATGCAGGAGGCACACCACCTGCGAAACCAAAAAATAATCAGTACGGCTACAATACTGATGAGATAATGAATCTAGAACAATCATACTAGAAACCTCAAAAAAGGAAAACATATAATCTAAAGTTACATGAAGAGCTAGGTCATATACCTAATGAAATACAAAGAATAATATTACCAACTATGAGCACAGGAGTACCTATATGTACAAAGAAGAAAATAATATTAAAACTATATATATTTACAGCAGTACCAATTATATCAAATATAGGCTATGTAATGACACCATTACATTTAGCTCAAAATGGAACTATGATCCAAAATGGATATATAGATGAAACTGTCAAAACAATACAAGTAATTAATTAGACACATAGTAAATATGAAATACCAAAAGGATATTATATAGCAAATCTAAAGAACATTAAAGAAGTACATGGATTTGCAAAAGTAATAAACCCAGAAGAAGATGATGATGAAAAAATGAAACCAGAAGAAAGATTTAAACTTTTACTCGAAAAAACAAACCCAGAATATAGAAACCTATTAGAACCAGTATTTAAAAAATACTATAAGGATATTTTTCGATTAAAAGAAGAAAAAGTAACAACATTCAATTCTGAACATTTTAATATGCCAATAAGATTAAAGCTAAAAGAAAAATCAATACTGAAAGGTATACCAAAGAAAGACCAACAATGTATGCCTAGACCAATGTCACAAGAAGAAAAAGAAAAATCGAATGCAATGTTCAAGGAATTATTTGACAATGAATACCTTGAACTATCGACAGCAGCATGGGTATCACCCATAATGATATTACCAAAACCAGATGAATCAAAAAGATGTGTAGTAGATTATAGAGGATTAAATAAATATCTTGAAGACAATAGCTTCGAAATACCTACATACCCACCTTTTTGCATAAAGTAGCAGTATATAAGTACTATAGTACTATAGATTTTAAAGCTGCATACTTTCAATTTCTATTAGAAGAACATGAAAGAGATAAAACAACTTGTTTTTTTCCTGGAATAGGAAAATACAGATTTACAGTAATGCCAATGGGATTAAAAACAGCACCAGCATATATGATGAGGTACATGTTTGAATTATTTAAAGATATACTATATATAGCAGTATATATGGATGATTGCACAATTTTAGCAAACACAGTAGAAGAAATGATAGAAAGACTCGAAGCGGTGTTTGAGCATATAAAAGAGGGGGGCATGATAATAAATCCTAAAAAATGCGAATTTGAAGTAACAAAAACAACCATTTTGAATCACCAAATTGAACATGGGAAGATATATTTTAATGCTAAAAAGTTAGAAGAAGTTAAGAAACTCCAACCACCCAAGGACGTTAAAGATGTTAAATTATTTAATGGAATAACTAACTACTTTAGAAGATTTGTAGAAAACTTCTCAACCATAGCAGAACCAATAAACAATCTATTAAAGAAAACTACACTATTCAAATAGACAAAAGAGTGCCAAAATGCATTTAATTTTATTAAACAGAAGATACTCGAAGCATATTAGTTAACATATCCTAAACCTGAATACCAATTAATTATAGAAACTGATGCATCTGATAATAGTATTGAAGCAGTATTAAAACAAGTGAACCCAGATCTTAAACATTATAAGACAATTCAGAAAGAATAACACATTGGTAAAACAGACCATTAGATACAGAGTGAAGAAGAAGTTATAGAATTCTTTTCAAAAACATTAACTTCAACCCAACAGAAATGGTGAAGTATGCAAAAAGAAATGTATACAATATACGAAGCACTTAAATCATTTAGACCATACATAGGAAGTAGACATGTGAAAATACAAACAGACAATACTGGAATAACAACAATGACGAAAAGTTGTAAGAATTCAACTATTGAACAATGGTTATTAGAGCTACAAGAATTTAATTACGAATTAGAACATATACCTGGATCTAGAAACAAGATAGCAGATTATATATCACGTGCAACAGGACAACCAACAAAAAGCAAGCAAATCACTATAAAGAATGGTGATGTATTAATAATAAAACTTAAGAAACAATAGCTCGACTACTATGTGTGCCAATCTGAGTAGCCTGAAGTATCTAACTACTCTGATCTGGCATATGTAATAAACTAGCAATAATATTCAGATAACTGAATAGACAAGATATATAAGTAATTAAATATATAAACACCTGAAGAAAAACTGACTCTTTTTATAACCTTGAATTGATGGAAAAACCGAAGCAGCCAAGGACCAGTAAGAAGTTAAAACTTAACTACGTGCTTTCACAAGAAAACAAGCGACCAAAGAAAAGAAAAATGACTCATGGGATACCACTATATAAAGAATTATACGAATACTTAAAAAGGGAACAAGATATGATTACATATCTACAAGAAAAAGAGATATTACTGAGACAAGTAACATGTCCAAATTGTCAAAATGAAATACGCTTTGAGAATAAAGCAAATTTATTCATCTGCACCAATCAGAAGTAATGTAGGAAAACTGTATCTATTTTTAACAATACTATATTTGCAGGATCTCGGATATCTGTAAACCAAACATTTGAAATAGGATATTTATGATTAACTAAAGCAAAGCATGAGACCATATTACCATTTACAGGATTAAACCCTCGAACAGTCACAAGGTGGATGAACATCTATTGTGAGTTAGTAAGTCTAAATTTACAAGAAAATGAGGAACTAATCGGAGGAAAAGATATCATTGTAGAAATAGATGAATCTCGATTTGAAGTAAAATACTGAAAAAAATGGAATCCCGAAACTGGAGAAATAACTGAAACACACCAAGACATAAGAGTCTTCGGAGGTGTAGAACGAACTCCTAAAAAGTGCATGTTTGCTATAATCGTAGAAAACAGATTAGCAAAAGTATTATTAGAAAAGATTGCTAACCATATACATCCAGAATTGCTTATCTATTCTAACATGTGGTCTGCGTATCAGAATATTTATGACTGGTTAGAAATAGAGCACCATGCTGTCAATCATAGCCTGGGAATGGCAGTCTGAGTAGTGTTTCAATCCATTATCCGCTTATCTATTTATCTATCAGATATCCGAATCTGAATTTATTCGGATATCCATTTTACTACTAATATCCAGATAATATCTAATTACCCTTCGGATTATCCGGATATTTAGGTGATTTGGATTATTCAGATAATTGGATACAGATAAACAGATGACGGATTTATCCAGATTGAAACTCTAAGTTTGAGATATAGATCCAAGAACCGGAGATACAATTGTATATCACATCAACTATATAGAGGCAACATGGCGAGTTCTAAAAAGTCAAATACAGATAAGGCACCGGAATCACAAGTTCTTATCCGAATATTTATTAGAATTTATATGGAGACGCCAAAATAAGGATAATCTCTTTAATGCATTCTTAGATAGTTTATGCGTAACTGAAAGAGTATCGATCAGCAATAACGATCAGCAATAATGATCAGATAACGGATAACGCACCTGATCTGCAATCAGATTGATAAAACAATTAAGAGATAAAACAGAATAAGATCAATAAGTAGAATGAACCTTTAATTAGTTAAAACATACTCGAATGTTCTACCAACTACTATATGCAAAAACTTATTTAAACAAACGCAATTGACCATCTTAAAACAATATTTATACAAACAATTAATAACTAAAAATAGTAAAAACACTTAATTAAATAACTCTTCGAAAATGAACTCTCAACAAGGATCCTCTACAAGCAATGATGCCTGGAATCAAAAAGACCCAAATTATTGCCAAGACTGTGATGAATATAAGTCATCACCTACCCATAACTGTAGAATTAATCTGAATAAGGAATTCGATTAGTTTAATGATAGAGAACAAAGTCCTGAACCTAGAATTCCTAAAAACTATTGTAATTATTGTGGTTATGAAAAAGAAAGAGGCCACGACTGTAAGAATTACTCTAACAATCCTAATCGAAATAAAAGGTTTGATAATAGAACACCTATAACGAAGCTTATACATCATGTGTATTGTACAGATTGCGATAAGCCTGGATATTATAATAACAGCACCAAATGTCTGAATAATGTTACATGTGATAACTGCAGAAAGAAAGGTTACTTCAAAAATAAGTGTCCTACCCTTGTTTGTAGAACTTGCAAAAAGAAAGGACACATCGCTAAGCACTGTATCAAAGTAATTGAATTAGATTATTGCGCACATTGTGGCTCTACTGAACATGTAAGAAAAAAAGACTGCACTGAGATTAAGTTATTAAAAGAACAACAAGCTAAAAAGTATAAGTGTGACCAAACTGAAGTTCAATTAGCAATCCAAGAAAATTTTAGTATTTCTAAAAGAAAGCGAAGCGAACGAAATATGTATCACTATTGCAAGTGCTATAAGATTTGTGGCTATACTGAATTACACCTCTTAAAAAATATATCACTATACTTACCACATAAGACCGACTTAGAACATTTTAATAATGTTTTAGTTTGTAAGAATTGTTGCCAAGGCTATTATGTGCTACAATTCTCTATTGACTATAATCACAAAGAAGCAACCAAATTCTTTGAGAAACAAGGAAAACTAACCACTTGCTATTTCTGTTATAAGCCAATTATAACTACAAAAGTGTTCCATTTACCGCAGACAGAGCACTTCTTTTGCACTGACGATGAATTAATAGCATACCTAGTAATTTGTAACATAAGCACAAATCATGACTATAAACTAGTAGACCAAATTAGACATTGCACCCGAAGAGCACCTAGATACCCTGGATTCTCCATTAATGAATCCTTAATAGAAAGATTAGTCCAAGCTTATTTTAAATCACTTGAATTAGATCATATTAATAAGCCAATTCATTATAAACACTATATGAATGCTTATATTATAGCATCACATACTAATGATATTTGGAATGATTCATATAAAGACCTAACTGATCTTAACGAATCAACTGTATATGAACTCTATCTACCAATAAGAGGCTTTGATCCAGAAAACCCCATACCAGAACACCAAATAACTCCTGAAGATGTAATTCAATTGCAAACCCTCGAAGAAATTAAACCTCCAGAGTGCAATAAGGATAACTTTCAACAAGTAGCTTTAACAAATAAATATATTAAAATGTACTCAGAACTACTTGAAGCAATTTGTAAGAGTTGTCTCTTACCAGGAGATGATACCGAAATAATTAACCGCATGTGTAAGAATTGCAACTACTGCAACGATTGCCAGAAACCAACCCCAAATGAAGACCTGAAGTATGGCTTTTGTCCGCAATGCTATGATCCTAACTTACATAGATCTGTACTAACTAAAAGAGAAAAAATTAAGACTATAATATATTTAGAAGGATCTAATGAAGTAAACTTTGAAATTATTAAAATAAGCAATAATGAGAGCTTATCAGAACAAGATAATGAATCTGAAGTTAACTTTGAAAGATCTACTGATATAATAGATTATATTCTTAATAATCTAAAAATAAGAGAAGATAATGAAACAGTAATAGTAAACACCCTGAAAGATCATAAAAAAGTAATTGAAAACCATGCTAGATATATTAGAAAAATATTAAAAACTGAAACACCTGATGAGGATAGGATGGATACTCTTAATGATCTTGAAGATCAGAAGTTAATAACCTTACAAAAAACTGCAGATCAGTTAATCAATACAGTAAATAAGCATAATCAACACATTGAAAATCTTGAACAAGAAAACAGAATTCTAAAAAGGAAACTTGATGACCTGCAGAAAGAACAATACTTAACCAGATTAGGTCATATGAAAAAATTGCGAATAAAACAACTTAAAATTCAAAACGAACTATTTAAGGAAATAGTAACTGCACCAATGACTGAAGAATTCCAAGAAGCATATAAGGAATTCATTAAAAAATTAGATAACAAAATTTAACTAGAATGTACTAAAACATTTAACTAATTAATTATTATTTTTTTTTTTTTAATATTCAAAGGTGAGGCCATGCCTCTATCTTAACTAATTAATTATTATATACCCGAATAAGTATAAAAAGACATTAAATTTACCTTGATAAACTTATCAAAACATGAATGAACTTTGGAATAAGAAATTTAAGACTTATAAGAACAAACAACCTGACAGATGATCTCTTTCAAGAATTAAATCATACTACAAGTAGCAAACAACAGAAAATAAGAGAACTACTTCAATTCACAGAAGCATTATTCTCAGATATATACTTAAACCCTACCTGAAGTAAAATAAATAATCTTAAAGAACTATATAGACAAAAGATAACCAATCTTTAAATCTCATCTCGTGTAAACCGAAATGTAAGAAACCTCACCATTAAAATTAATTATTTGACTGAACAAACTATTAACGCAATATATAGTCTTGTACAAATATTGAATAATAGATACCAAGGATTAGATTGAATGAGTGATAATACAATTGAAGCTATAGCAGACTACTTTACGTTCATCTGGATCATCAAAGTTAAATTTGAACAATTATTAGGAGATCTTATTAATTAGAGTAATCTTAGGATACTACCTCAGCAAGTACCTTTAACATTAAGACAGAATACATTTGAAAGTGAACAATTAGCAAGCCTTATAGCTGCATATAAATAAGAAATACTCCAATCACAAACACAACTTTATCCAACACAACCACAACTTGACCAAACTGTAGATACATTATTTCTCATTATAGAACTCAACTCACAAAATAAAGAAGAGGTAACTACAAGATTAAAAGTAACGATACAAGCAATATAAGCAGTATTAAGCACAAGACAACCATTAATTATTATCCACCCAATGGATGGAGGAAATTTAAACTAAATATTTAAAAGAAGAATACAAACTTTATAAAACAAAAAAAAATTGTACTACTGAAGAAGTACTTAAACAACTTAAATATTTACAAGATAACGTAATTGATTTCTTAATAGAAGAACAAAAAGAGAGTATTAAAACAAATCGAGATAAAGAATTAGAAATTGAAAATCTATTCAAATACAGATACGTAATAGATTTAATACGAAGGAAACACAAAATCAAAATCTGGATAACACAATATGAAAATAGTAGACTAAAAGTATCACAAGTCTTAGAATTCTACTTAAAAACATTAAAACGAACCTTATATGATATAACAAGACTCGTACCAAAAATAAGTGGACAAGAAGTAAAACTCATAACAAATGAAGAACTTGATAATCACTAGTATTATTAAATGGAATACTACACTGCGTATTTACAAGCAGAATACAATTTATATCGCAATATCAGTAAGACTCAAAAACCAGTATCAACTAAAGAAATTATAACCAGATATAATATTCTCGAACAAACTCTCTGAGCAGAAATAAGAAATGAAATATCAAGAATCTCTAAATTTAACCCACAAGAAGCTTACAAGTATCATAATTACTTGAGAATAACTAAACAAGCGAATATAGTATATTACCAGCTACAACTCATAGAAAAATACAAACAGCAGACACCAAATTTCATACTTAACCTATATATAAAACTATTAAAAGACCTTTATCAAAGATATACACGAAAAATTATAGAATATCAATATTACATATTTACAAATGAATAACCAGCAGACAGAAGAACTATTAACATATTATCAAAGAAACTTTTGTTATTTTTGGAATTTTACTGAAGAACTAACAAAATATCCTGATGATGAGTACTATGAAAAAGGATTAGAATATACAAAAGAAATAACATCTCAACAAAAAACTATTCATATTAAAGCTGATATCCAAGCAACAATAGATACATTATTACAATGAATAAGTCCAACTAACAATCATAGAATAGGATTAGTATTAGTACTACTCAAAGCAGCTAGCAAAGCAGCTGATTATATAACCCAACCATTAAAAGTACTAAGAGCATTTAACGGAAAAACAGCACCTGATATAGAAAAAACCATAATACAGATATCAGATTATTACCAATACTTTTACGGAACAGCACAAGAAGTAATTAAACATTTTAGAAGTAATGATAACCAAATCCCAAACCAAATTGGAGAAACACTTCATCACATATTATTTAGTATTCAGATATTATTATTAACTGAAGGAGCTATTAAAGACGTAGAAGAAAGAAAATATAGCCTCCAACAACTTTTAGACCGAAGACATTTTCTAACAAAAGAATTTTATACGCATACTAAAAATAAATCACAACAATACCTTGAACCAATAGAGGAAATTCCTGAATTTGCAATATGACCACAAGGACATTTCCCGCTTAAACCAAAACCAATAGTAGCAAAGAAAACATCTGACATATTCAAAAAACTTAATAAACTCTTATTGGAAGTAGAAGCAGAAATATAACAAGAATTATTAAAGTTACATTCACTAAAATTATACCAAAGCAAGAGATACATTGAACTATTAAAACTAGCATCATATATAAACAACAAAGCACAATTTGAACCAACTACATATTGGTATAACAAGAAAATAACAACAACTAAAAAAGACAGAAATTATCAAAGAACTACAAAACTACCTTAGTATTCAACAATTACAATATAAACAAATTCAAAAATTTGGATATATATTAGGATTAAATGATTAAAATGAAATCCCAATGATTAATTATTATTATTTTATTTATAAATATTGAACAAACGAAAATACTACTTGGACAACAAGTAGACTCTCAATGAGCACACTATTTACATTTTGATGAATTAACAAGACAATCTTTCAGTAAACAACTAGAAGATACCGCAGTAAATGAATATACTAGGAATATGACCTCATGTTTATAGAATAAACCAACCCGATATATACATACATATCCAAAGTCAAGTATTCAATTACCATATAGTATAAATTGAAGAACAAGAAGACGGACGAATTAAACAACAAGGAATAATTAAAATCTGACCATATGAAGATTCAAACTGCCTAAATGATTCAATAGAAAACTTAATACAGAACTATTATTTTTATGAAATGCACTAAACAGAAATATCACAAATTAATATACGATTATTATCATAAAGCGAAAAAAAAGGTTAATTATTCCAAAAGAAAATCATTAGTAATTAATTTACCGAAATAGACACACTGAAAAAGATTTACAACAATTACTTGGTAATTTGCCTAGACAATTGAATCTAACATTTAGCCAGTACATAACACCCCAGTGTCTCGGTGTAATGCTAACGTTATATATTTTACATAAGTGTCTTTCACATTTAACACACGCTTTTTAAAAAAATTATTTTATACATATGTATATACCAGTCGATATCTTCCCCAGGTGCAGCAACAAAATTTTACAGTAACGTAACAACCGACAAACTTTTTTGAAATCAATAGGGTTTGGTCGTTGCTTAAATTAAAGTTAGC